GTACCCACGTAGCCAGCTATGTTTACAAGAAAACAACGCCGGGTCCCGCCTCACTTGGCGCTCTTTGAAACCGAAAGTACGACTGAGCACTATAAAACAGCTTACAAATAATTAACCATAGCACTCTCGAACAAACGAAATATACAGCTGAAATAAGTAGGTCAATTGCAACAGAACAAACAAGATTCAAAACTTTAATGTCTGTGCTATTTTAAGTTTGGGTTCCTTGTTGCTCATGTATGCTTTTATCAGCAATTGTACCCCGTCCACAATAATAAAGTAGTTCTTTATGTTTGCTGTCTCTCCACATCAGAGTTCCTCAACCCACGAGACACCACAGTGTGTCTCTTTCTGTCCCTGTTGAAGCCGTACATTGTACACCCTCAAAGACGGATCAACTAGCCGAAGCAACCATTTTGTTAAATTATATACAAATAACCTTGCAAGCACAATGCAAAAATTGAACAGCCCGCAGAGGAGGAATATCAATTCTATCATCTTTCTCTTGACAGATACGGCATGGTAGCTTGCTTTTGTTTGGTCATAATTGTATTATAGTAATATTACTAGGGGTGAGCAAATATTCTAAATAACAGTGTTTGCTATTCAATTCGCACTGAATTTTTTACTATTCGAACTTCCCGAAGACAAATGCAGTCAACATGAAACTGAAAGTGACTCTTGCAGATGCTTATGCTTCACCTCAAAGCATCCACAGAAATTGAAATAGGACAGGCTGAGGAAATACTAGCACCTTTGCCTTTCACATGTAAAGTGTTGTCGCCAACACTGTGGTTCCACCAAATCCTGTACTAATGCAATTCAACCTCTGCATTGCCTCATGCTTCATAAGACAACTATGAAATACCACCCTGCCAGCGCTTCATCAACCCAGCGAAAAGAAACATTTTCGTGTTTCTATATCTCGTAATCATCTCACTTCAAACTATTGCAAAAATATTTGAGAAATATTCAAAAAATATTCTACATATTCAATTTGCACTCACACTTCAATATTCAAGTTCGCTTTGCACCCGAAATTTTGCTTTTCGCACAGCTTTAAATATTATTACATTTTGCATAATCTTTTTTTTTCCAGTGATGCGACCAGAAAAAACCAGAATTCTCTAGTTATATCTCAGCAATAAAAATTGGTGTCGGTACTGTTTTACTTTAATACGTTTGTCTGTTTAATAAATATTAGTTAAATCCTAGCCAATGCTGTGACTGATAATGCACAATGCCTGTCAACAAGCATTGTGCTTTACTTGTTATGCCAAGAATGGTCTGTGCCACCAAAGTTTAAGATGAAAGAAAAAAATGATAGGCAACATAGAATAGAGAATTATGTTTGAATGGCTAAAATAACTACCAACAATTAATGTTTTAACAATGCATTAATGAAATATTAACACAATGGCAGCTAAAACTTCAGTTGCTTTTTTATGTAACTTGTTTCATGAGCTGGCATCACTGCCATGTGGGTGCTGGTCTGAAAAGAATACTAGCAACCCCTTTTTTTTTCATTTGCTCAGAAACTATACCCAAATAAAAAAATATTTCAATTGTTGGTGTCAATATGACAACCATAAACAAGTTCTAATTTTTCTTTATTTGCTCAGAAACTGTACCCAAATAAAAAATATTGATATTATTGGTGTCATTAGGACAATCATAAACAAGTTCTAAATAATGGTAACTTTAGAATAATAGTATTAAATCCAGCAGGAATGCACGCCCTTCAAACTGTTTAGTAAATGTAGAACCAGTAGATGTTCCTGTCACTAGTACTTTGTCATTCTCCAGTTTCTTTGTCAGGTACTTAGTCAACTGAAGAAAGAGAGGAGCAGGATGTTGCCGTTGGCACAACCCCGGTTAACGGAAACACCGAGACGACGAGAATGGGGAAAGTAAACACTGCATTTATGGGTTTTGCAAAAATTTCCGTGGGCACATATCCACAAAATGACATCGCACTGACTCCAGTGCATTCTTAAGTTTCGAGGAACAGTGCTGCAAGGCCCCTAAACTACCGCAGCTTCTGAGCTTTGCTGAAGTAGAATCCACAGCATCTTTACCTGTTGGCAAGAGGCAACAAATGATGACAATGCTCTCAAAATCATTGTCTTGAGAAGTCTTAGGACATTAACTTAAAGTTATTCGCCCTTGAATAAATATTACTCTTGCACTGACCCAGTCGTAGCCATGAACTGTACCTTCATGCGGAAACAATAGAGAACCCTACCAGTTTTCAAACTACGATTGAATATCAAGTAACAGTATAGTTGTAATCACTTTTTGCATGTGCGATGGCCCTGTACTAATTAACTATTTCAAATAAAAACACCAATACATTAAAGAGGTAAAAAAAACCCGTTTGCAACTTTTACTGCTTCAATAAACATCGAACCATGCCAAGTCCTTAATATTTCCATGCAATATTCAGTTTATATTTAGTAATGCTCACTTAAAATCTTAGCATCCTTGTGCTCCTAAAATGAAAATAAGACACTGCCGGCTGCCCCGGGCACTAACTTGGCGACACCATCTTGAGACATTTCAAGCACTAAACAAATCATTAAATACGCTTGCTCAAAAATAATATATTAAATAAATCTAGGAAGTAATAAAATAATATAACAATTTCCTAGCTCATAGTAGTGGTCAAAGTCTAAAAGCCACCTGCATTTCAACTTTCGCGCGAATGCAGTGAATGCTCGTTTTGTATAACGCTGCAGTTCGGAAAGAATGGCATTTGACACTACAGTTAAGGAAAGTTGTATGGTGGGTACGGTTTTTGTGTGTAACGCCTTTACGATGCCGCAGTCAAGACGGTACAATGCTCTAAACCTCAGTTAACTATGGCTGAGCAGGCCTCACTACTCACCATGTTTTACCAATGCCAGAGACTTTTTATTGGCTAACTGAGATGACATGAGCTGTAAAGTTGAGGAGACTGTGGGCTGGGATATTTAAATTGTGTTTTTATAGCTAGCAAATGAACCCAGACAACAAAACGAGTGGAGACTAGATGACCAGGATTCGGAATACACATATAGTTGAAAATTTTCGGAAAATGTTTCATGATCCCTTTTGATGAGAATGAAGTTTCACTGGGAATATCCCTGCATGTCATTTTGGGCAACCTTTTCTATAAACGGGCTCAGATGTTTTTTTACACCTCCCCAAACAAGCTTGCAAATTCCTACAGAAGACCACGGCAATTACACTTTCTGAATATTGCTGCACTATGCGTTGCCCAGACCCTCCACTTCGAAAAACAATTCCCGCACCTGACCAATCCCCCTTGTACACACAGTGACACAAACTTGCCTATGGGCTACTTCATGTACCGCTGAGCTCATTGGTAGGTACTTTGCCCAACAAAATCAAAATGGCCCCTTGGCCTTGTGGCGATGCTGTTTAGGCCACACGGACCTCAGCCTAAGGCTACCTGGAGAAGCAGTATTGCCAGAACAAAAGCTTCCGAGATGAAGAGGCATCTCAATACTTTGCCAACTTTACTGCTAGGTAAAGGGCACTCCTCGCACCGCACTTCCTCCCTGCACCCCTATGACCCGTTCTCATGTGGGGGAAGGCCTGCTTGGTCGTTGGCTGCACATCGATGACATATTGTGTCAAATTTTCGAAATGGGCGAAGTCAAGACGACGGGCTACGCCTTCTCCTTCTTGTGGCAGAGAAGGGGCGCATAAAAATATGAAATCAGCTGAAATGGATATTCTAGCCCTACTAACTTCTTGATTACAACACATATTCACAAAATTCTTGTGGCAACATGTTCACATAGAAAAAGTGCGCACATTTCTCTTCATTACAATTTTTGGTTCTCGAGTATATTTACTGGCCCTTTAACCAGTTTAAATAAACAATAAACAGCTCAAATTACATCTTAATTGCTTTAGTTAATGCAGAGCATGATTGAACTAGCACGACACTTCTCACAATTCGGAACTGATTAGGTCTGAATCCCCGAATGTTCCAACTAGTTGTGGGTATTTTTAACTCTTTCACTGCCACACGACAAACGCTCACGCGGGCCCTCCATACCACATCCTTCTCAGAAAAAAGGATCACGTATGCAATACGCTCCCTTTTTTTTGTGGTCGTAAAAGCCTAGCTAAAGTATTTTCTAGAAGATACATTAAAATACACTTATTTACAGCTCTCAAGAATTGACACTTTGACCTCTGAAGTTTGAAAGGCATTTCAAGGTATGAAAAAATTCAAAGCCCTGTGGCATGTGCATGACGGCACCACACTTTTCACACTCCCAGTGACTTTCACATTTTTTTTTCCTTAGCAATGCACATTTGACACTGCATTGAGGAGTTTCTTTTCATAGAATTATATAAAATATAGCATGAAAATCGGTCCATTGAGTAACTTCAAGGCACTAAGTGCCAGTCATCCTTCTACCACTAGACAAAAAAATATTGTTATGGAAAATATGTTACGAAAGTGCATTCAAGCAACATGAGTAACAGCTGTCATCTATCAGTAATGTATCCAAGCATCTTTAGATAAGCCTCCAAGTGCTGCCTACCCTTGATAGCTTTACAAATTACTAAATACAAGAGACTGGCTGGCTTTCACAAGATTGCCATTGTATGTACGCCGGTCAACTCACCAGCTTTGGCAGCGAACAGGTTTTAAAGCTCCTAATAAGCAACTACTGACAATAAGCATGGTATGCCTAAAAGGCCATCTCTTTACCAGTGATAGTCATGTGTTAAGTAAAAAAAACAAGTGTGCAAGCTATTTAGGAACATAATATTGGCTTTAGAAAAAAAAAACATTATTAGACAATATTTGATACATTTGCACCCTTTTTAAAACATTGTTCTATTGCCAGTTTCAAAAACCTTACTAAACAATACCTAACCTAATTGACTATAATTTCAAATATAGCTGTATATTTAAGTTGTATTGCATGTACATGTTCAATTCTTTCACAATAGGAGCCTTAACAGAATTTTCTGTGTGGTGCAGTTTTTTTATTTTCTTCTCAGCGATGATCCAGCAAGGAGTCCGGCAGGTTTAAATCTCGGGACTTAAGAAACCACGATGAGTGTGACAAGGTCATAAGAAGAATGCAGCCGGCCAATCTTGAGTCACACAGGGCATGGGAGAGGATGCAAAGTGATCATGTAGGACTGGTACTTACACAATTGCATGCACCAAAAAAACCTGACTAAAGTCAAACTTTGTTATAATGAAGCAATATTCTAAACAAAAGCACTTTTTTACACCCAATATTCCTTATAAGCGTACACCTAAATATTGGTCCAAACACCATTAAAAAATTAACTAAATCAAAATATAAGCTAACAAGTTTTGGTATAAAACAATAACATATTGCGAACACGCACTTTGTTAAGTCATAAAGGGTATTTGCATAAAAGAAGGCACCCGCTAAGATAGCTTTTCAACTACAACGTTGAGTTGCTGTGCACAAGGGCAGCACATCAATTCCAAGCCATGGTGGCCACATTATAATGGAAATGAAATGCAAAAACACCTATGTGGTTAATTTAGGTGCATGTTAAAGCCCTGGTAGACAATACTATTCTGGAGTCCCCCACTGCAGTGTGCCTTATGACCACATATCAGTTTTGGCATGTCAAACTAAGAAATTTAATTTTTAATGCAAGGGCAAAATCTATCTACACCGAGAAAGGGGTGTGCAGCACACGACATTGTCATGTCTTTCCGGGCATCAAAGCCCCACAGAGCTACCCCTTAAATAAGGGACCGCTTCTTGCATGGCTATAAGTACTCCCTGATGACTAAGAGGGGAAATGTGTACCACCTTCACGTGTGCACCAGCATCACAAGGTTGGAAAGCTTGCTACTTCCATAGAGATTTACTGAACGATACCTAGGGTCACCCTGCTCCTTATTCGTCAGACATCTCACACGTGAATGCTCTGTGAAGGCCCTCAAACACTTTTCAAGTCACTTTTTTTTTCAGTAACAGATTGAATAGATAATAGTTGCAGAGAATAATGCAGAAAGAACTGCAGTGATAGGGTTATGCAGCACATATTTATTCAGCTAAGAACATTCCAAATACAAAAAGTGCAAAGCTCATATGAAAAATCGTTGAATTAGAAATGCAGCTGGAGCCAACGTTTCAGCAAGTAGACTCAACTTCGTCAAGGGAGCAGGTATACCTTACATAGCAGCGTGTTTGTGTACACTTTGCTCATTATCCCCGAACCTTAAAACGTTGAGGGGGAGATTGAGCAAAGCCACTCCATTTATCATGTAGGAAGAGTAACAAATTTTACACAAACAAGTCCGCTTGTCAAAATGTTGGTTGCAGCGACAATCACTGTCCGACGATTTTTGATCACTTCCCATGAATATCTGTCTCATCTGGACGCCCTAACTATAAAATTTGAGTTGATCTCTTGACCTTATTTCTTTCACCCACTGATGCATTCCCCCTTGCAGCCAATAGTAAAAGCTCAAGCTGTTTAAGTGGACAAAATATGCACTGCATAGTTGCCTGTTCTATCAGGTGGGCTGATGGCAGCATTACTAGGGCAGTAAACAATGTTGACCCAGACCCCAGCAATATATTAAATCATGCATTGAAGTAACAAACGTGTGCCACTTGAACAACACCCACAAATGTATATGTAGCATGAGCAAAACTAGGTAATGAGGTGACAAGTCTGCTCATGAGTATACACAAGTGAGAAGAGAAGCATTTGCATTACCTTAATCATGTGTTAATAACTAACAGACAAGAAAGCCCAGGAAAGAATAGGGGATGTTGCTTATAGTAATTGTGATGCAAATACGAAAGTAAGATGGGTGAAAAGATGACCTGCTGCTGGCCAGGACCAAACATGCGACCTTCAAATAACACATCCAATACTCTACCAACTGAGCGACTATGACAGTCATCCTGCCGTCTATTTTATGGGGTATATACGAGGTACTAATCGTGCATATACTTCTAAAATATGATCAGATGCTAAAAGATATGTTCAGATACCAGAAGCACAAGACCAGTAAGTGTACGTGCCATGCTTTCTAGTTGCAGTACTTTTCTTTATAACTACACCTGTTTGCACTAATACTGTATTTACTCGCGTAATGAGCCCACCTTTTTTGTTTTTTTTTTTGTTTTTCAGAAAAGTTGACACCATTTTGGGGGGAGGGTTCAATACGCGGGAAAAAAAAATTTATGGGAGTTACAGCAGCACAAATTTTGCGTTATAGTTTTCGCCTGCGAAGTGTGTGATGACTCTTTTTTTGTAGCCCAAAGCACTTCTTGTTTTCTCCCGTAATGAATGCGCACAGATCAACGCCGAAGTGCCATCCAGCCGCTTAGTTCTCACACTCCAGCACCTGCAGCCATGTAGCTAGCACATCGGCCAAATACACCATCAGCCACCACTACACGTGATAGAAGCACGCAACTTGGCCACCAAAGCAAATTAAGCATAGTATGCAAAGCCATTGATCCACTGCCACGCATAAATCAATGTAATCTTTTGGAGCAGTGGTTCTCAAGTGAGGGTCCCCAGACCCTAGGGGTCCGCGAAGCCATTTCTATGATCCGCGAAACCCTCACCCGCATTTTTCTTTAAGCGTGACTGTCCCACGTATAGATGAATTGTCCAAAATGAAGTGATGTAGCACGTTTGATGTTTTTCGTAGCAACAACAGGTAGGCTTGTGCAAATATTCGGATGCTTCAAATATTCGAACGAATAGTATACTATTCAAATTCAATAATTTAAATGATTGAAAATTTCGAATTATTCGCAATGAATGAACAGCTGTATATTAATCCTAATGTAACGACTTTGTAAAGGTAGTTTTCCTGCAGTGTCGGACTGCTAAACCGTGAAAGCACCCAACCAGGGGAAATCTGCTTTGCCGCGATGTCCCCCTGCAAATTTAAAGGGGCCCTGCAACACTTTTTAAGCATCGTCAGAAAATACTCCCGATCGATAGTAGAGGCTTCTGAGAACACCCGAGCCAAATATAGTGCAGCATGCATCCTGCAATTCACAATAAATTCTCAAAGCTAGCTGAAAATTGCTCTCCTCTCTGCAAATGACACCACAAGCTCAAAAATCACTCGTCAGCGCTATTGCGTCAGCCATTGGCTGATTTGAACCTGGCGCGCTCGGTCGTCACTGGAGCCACAGCGGGACCAGGCTGGCAACTGTATTTAATACTTTTGCTCCCAGAGTACATCACTTATGTACGTGCAAACAGTCTTTCTTTTCTTTTTCTGTATTACATTGCACATTCACACTGCAAGAGGATACTCCAAAGACCTAAAGCATAGCCATCTAAATTTTATTCCGTAGGACTACAAAATGGCCACAACCAAAGAAATAGATTATTTTCCCAACACTTTGGGACTTATTTGTCTTCTTTTTCTTTTAAGAGGTGGGGGTGGAGGAAGGTTTAATTATGCTTTCTGTATGCTCATCCGTATGTTTATAGTATGTGTGCATGCATATACACATGCTAAACTGAAAAAAAAAAATTAAGAGGGGGAGGGGTTGAACCTCTCTGACCCCTCCCCCTGTTTCATGCCAGTGGCTGCCTCCTCTGGTTGCATCCTTGTTTTAAATGATTAACGTGAGGAGCAGGTGGGAAGGAAGGATATTCAGCTCATCACTACCTTCTCCCCTGTCCTCCTTGCATCTGAAAAGCTGTATGTCAACATCTCCAGCATCACTTCCCTTGAAGAAGGAACAGAGTTGGCTACGAAAAATATTTTGAAAATGAACCTTTTTTTTTTGTTGGAGCCATTTGAAATATAATTAGTTAAACCAACCAAACAGTAATTCTGTTAAAATGTCTAGCCTTTTTTTTTTCTTACCTTAAAATCAAAGAAACTTGTCACATTCAGGAACATGCTTATCTCACAAGTCATTGCAGCTGGCAGCTGAGGTGATTATGACCGTATTCATTTTTCTCCCCTCCCTCTTGTGCCACTAAGGAAGTTGCTGTCTTGGAACATGCGCTTTGTATGCAACAGAGGGACAAATGATGAAATTAGGCACTTGGACAAATATAACAGGAAAATTAATATTTATAGCAATTCAAAGCTGTATATTTAATAAAAAGTGTGTTTTTCACAGCCTGCCAGCAATAGTTTTCAAGCAAAAGGTTGCTTACAAAAAAGACCAATTCTTTTTGAACCAATATTTACTGATCTGTCAATTGCTATACAGGGACCAAGTGCACTTTTGCGATGCACGAGATTGTCATTAAATTAAAACTGCAGCTCGATGTTACCTAGCTAAACTGCAATAAAATATTCTGTATTTACCCAAACCTGACATGTACCATTCCTCAATCGGTACAGAAATTGCCTGCACATTAGAAACTGAGAAAAAAACCAAAGACATGTTGAGAACACTGGCTATAGCCTATCATTGGGGGCATTGTCAGTGCCATCACAAGATGGTGACAGAGCTCGTTTCATTAGTGCCACCACACATTGCACTCTCAACTTTGATCTTCAGCGGTATTCACAGTCAGTCAACTTCATAGCTACAACCCTATTTCCAAAACCACACATGACTAAGCCCAACTTATGTCAGCGTACACACCTGCTTGTATTTTGTGGCATTGAACCAGGCTGGCTTTTTATAGCACAGTGTTAGAAACACTGTCGGTCAAAATTTTTACAGGTATGCTGCAATGTCACATAAGACGTTACAATAGCAGTATAAGTAAGATAATATCCCCCATGTGTGCTTGACATGCATCAATAAAGCATGACTGGCAATGACTACATACCACTTTTATTTAAATAACGCATTAAACGAAACCCTGCTCATTTTTTTTGTTGCTTTTTTTTTAAGTGAACAATAGTGGGGCGAACTGAAAATGCTAGAGTTCGCTAGAGACGAACTGAAAATTACAAAGAAAGTGCCAAAGCTCCGTGCTACCGTGGCCATAAGTGAACGACAGGAGGAAAGCTGTAAAGCTTCGTGTCGTTTTTTGGCTTTATTACTTTTAATCTACGGCTGTGTTAGCTGCGCACCTTCGGATCGTATTCGCTATCAATGAACGCGGCGATAGCGACCACGGTTTCCTGCGCAGCAGTAGCAGCAAACAGTAGTTCCGTATTCAATCTGTGCGTGCTGCGCTAGCTATGATAGCAATGACACAGGACTTAAGACCTGTGTCAATGCTATCCTTGTTTGTTCGTATCATTGCGGCAAGAAACATTGGGTTGAGTCAGTGCGCACTGGCTGCGCGCGTACTTTCGTGGTCGCCCATGATCGCGCACGACATGACCGCATTTGTGTTCGCAGTGGTTGCGGCAGAGTGTGTTACGCTGGGACTAGGTGCACGCTGCTTATGTGTGCGCCTTCTAGACGCTGTGGTTGTCATTCACGATCACAGGCCTAGTGAAAACAAGCTGTAGTTTTGTTTTGAGTGAAAAACATGTCTATATATATATATGGTGGAAGTTTTTGAAGATAGCGATTCTGCCGCGACCCGCAAGTGCATTAAACCAACCGGTAGCATCATGGTGGATGGGCGAGCTGTCCCCGAACATCTCAATGGCGATAAACTTAGCGCGATGTGCGTTTGGTGGCAGAAACCGTGTCTCCGATGAAGACATGATTGTTGTGATGTGGCCGTGCGCCCTGGATGTTACCAACCGTTGAGAAACGGCCGAGTTGGCAATGGAATTTTGCGGCAATCCTCAGCAAGTTTTTTTCCTTATCGGGTAGTACGCGCGAGAACTTCGTTAAAGTGGAAATATTCAGAAAAAGTATTCGTTGTGATGAGACATTATTCACATTGTTTTCTAAGGGTGGACTGATGGGGAATAAAAAATTATTTGTTGTGGTGGAAATTTTGTTGTAGCGGACTTCGCTATAGTGGCATTAAACTTAGCTGTAAATAAATGCACCAAAACGTCTGTTTTCTATAACCCTTACATGTCCATGAAAGAAAAAAAAAATGAGGAAGAGGGGAGGTCACAATAAAGAATAAGAGCAACAAGAGAAAAAAGATGTTCATTTTTTAAGAAAACAATACTATCGTCCACTTCAACACATTGCCAGGGCATCAAAGTAGCTAATGAACACCATTTTTCTCCCTTTGCATATTACACAGACTCATGCCTTATAAGCTCCAAGAAAAAAAGAAGACAAGATAACCACCACTAAAGACACTTACGCATGAACATGTCGAAGTCGAAGTCGTCATCACTACTCTGGGGCACTGGGGGCAGCAGAAAGGGACGGTGTGCGTTTCGGAGGGCGCTCGGCATTACTAGGCGCATATGTGGCAGCATCTGCAGAGCATTCTCCTGTTGCTCCTTTCGCAGTAAGTACTCCTGCTTGTATTTCTGCAGCAGGCAAGCAATGACACAACTCGCAAAAAAGCCACTGAAAAGTCACTCTTTCCTAGCCACAAGTACAACACAACCACAAATTAATAACCGTAAATGACCTCTATAAATACATGGACAGTCAAGGATAACTGGTCATGTAATTTTCCTCATCCAAACAACTCAACATGACCAGCTGCACCATGCCTTAATACAGCAGACCAGCTCAGATTGAGAGGCTAGGGCATAGGGCATAATAGTGCTAGTGACAAAACACTACTGCCCCACTATTTCATGAGTCTTTTTTCATTTACTTTTTCTACAACTAATTAGTAACATGCGGCATGAACAGATCTTTATCTGCATTCCATTAAAGGGGAACTTCGGTGCATTTTCGACCATACTGAGATAATGGCGTTTTCAAATGGTATTGACAGCCCTGCAACAGTTAAGGTGGTTCATTTTGCCCAAACACTCGTCAATATTGTTGCATGAAGGCGTACTGGAAACTAGGCGTTTCAAGATATATTTAAAGAGCGCCAATGTGTGAGCCAAGATGGAAAACAAGAGTGCGCTCTACACCAAAATCACGCCCTCTTCCTCGGTGCCTATCTCACTGCTTAAGTGGGACATTGTCTCATAACATTTTTAAAATTAAGCAATGAATGATGAGTCAGAATAGAAACCAACAGGGAGCTGCTCTGCCGTCCATGGTGCATACCAGATGTCACGAAACCCGCTACACAACGCCATGGTAGGCCAGGGTATAAACATGCTCACATGTCTCTCAAATTATGACAGGTAGATTACCATTATCCCTCATAAGAAAGGTATATCACAGCTGTATCTTGCCGGTACTTAGCTACGGAGCAGAAACCTGGAGACTTACAAAGATGGTTCAGCTTAAATTGAGGACAACACAGCGAGCAATGGAAAGAAAAATGGTAGGTGTAACCTTAAGAGACAAGAGAGCAGAGTGTATTAGGGAACCAATGGGGGTTAAGGATATCATAGTTGAAATCAAGAAAAGGAAATGGACACGGGCCGGGCATGTAGCGCGTAGACAGGATAACCGCTGGTCATTAAGGGTAACTAACTGGATTCCCAGAGAAGGCAAGCGAGTTAGGGGGATACAGAAGGTTAGGTGGGCAGCTGAGATTAGGAAGTTCGCGGGTATAAATAGGCAGCAGCAAGCACAGGACCGGGTTAACTGGTGGAACAAGGGAGAGGCTTTTGTCCTGCAGTGGACGTAGTCAGGCTGATGATGATGATGATGACATGCCTTTTCTGATGCGTGCAAAGCAAGCTGTCAATATAAAGTTGTGCCAGCCTGTCTGAACTTATCAGTGACAAGTTCAGCGATGATTGCAGCTACTATCTGAGTGCAGAAACATCGCCTTTTGATTTTGAACCGCCGGCGCGTAAGCGTCTGACGTGCCCCGAATCAAGCTCCTCATTGCTCAATACGTATAGTGCATGCTTAGACCCAACGTCGACTATGACTAACATGCTGTATGCAGCCAACAAAACTTGTGTTCGCGTCATGGTCACCTCGTAGAATAAAGCCTGTGCTGCATCAGTCTGCTCAGCAAGGCGGGGTTTTGAGAAAGAGTTGGCACATACGTCGCGCACACAGGGTGGCCCACGTTTACAAGTGTGATTCCTGAATTGGCTACCAATTTTTAAAATTGATTTTCTAAAGAACTACATGACTTACGGTTGTATAACTTGGCGCATATCATCACGGTACTGACGAGAAACCGTCTTCTAACTTGCACGGAAATCGGTAAATATTGAAAAATTCCTGGAGTTCCCCTTTAAGGGGTATCCCGTTTGTGTTAAAATGGGTCTCTATGATGTAAACCTATTTAAGTATTTCCTGCTAATATGGATGCTTGGGTGTGTTACGATGACATATTGGAAACAAAACAGCACAAAAGACACAAGCCCAATGACAGAGTTGTTTGTGTCTCCCCTTTTTCTTTTGTGCTGTTTTGTTCCCGAAGTATTTCTTTGAATTTTACCATTTGCCCTCCACAAACGATCAAAATCATTTGGGCCAACCCAGCACACTTATTTGCCACATTATGCAACAAAAACCACAGAAACTCTCCATCTCAAAACAACGTGTACACACTGTTTACGAACAATTAAATGGAATAAAAGAGTATACAGAAATCATTTCTGATACTGTGCCTCTGCTGCCAATAGCCCATACCTATCGGTCACAAATTTTCAAGCTGCACCAGCATCACCCGTCATTCAACACAACAAAAACCCAGCACATGTATTTGCCACATTATGCAACAAAAACCACAGAAACTCTCCATCTCGAAATAACATGTACAGACTGTTTACAAACAATTAAATGGAACAAAACAGAATACAAAAATCATTTGATACTGTGCCTTTGCTGCCAATAGCCTATTGCTATTGGTCACAAATTTTAAAGCCGCACCAGCATCACCCGTCATTTAAGGGGAGATGCGGGTCGAAAAACGCGAGTTTTTTTTCAAAATTACCGATTTTTTATTTTCACCTGTTTTGATAAGATTAGTATCTCTACTGTTATGAAAAAAAAATATATATACAGGTCGAGACTCAACTGGAAATGCTTAAAATTGCACCTAAAGAGCACAAGGTGCCTGTTTAAAGGTCCAAAGTGTGCAGTCTTCGAGCACCTTGCCGCCGATAATGTGCCCTCGCTCGCCATTGTTGATCATTGTTGATCGCATGAGTCGAAGAGTCGAGCCTCACTCTTCTAATAACAACAGTTTCTCTCGATGATGCAGGGCAAGAAATAATAAAAAGAAGCACGCTTCTGCGCATTTTTCGAGCACCGCGACTGGCTTTTCACGTGGTATGTATCGGGGACCGCCATTGGCCGCTGCGCCTGTATGTGCTGTGAAACCTATTTGCGGGGTCCATGTCTTGTTTAGCAGCGCAGCTGAACAATACTTTTCTCGTGTAATTATCTCCGTTATGAATGAAAAAAGGCAATGCTCGCAAGTGAAAGCCGTTGTGCAGCGCACTCTGTAGGAATAGGCTATGAGCCGCAGATCCGACTTGCGGCAGTTAATTAGTTGGCCTGCAAAACCCAATGCCTCAAAAGTCATTCGCACCCGTCAGCCGGAAAGTTCGTGATGCGGCAATGGATGGCGTCAGCGCCCATTTTGCGAGATCGAAAGAGCTCGCAGTGAGAGAACCTAGCAGGGACGACATTGCCATTATGTACGATGGTATGTGGCACAAACATGGCCGCAAAATGGCATGACACTAGACTGAGTTTGGATTTCGCAGTCCGGTCGAACTTCTTCCTAACCTGCAGTTGGCAGAAAGCTCTGCCAGATGGAGCGGAAATTGGGCAAGCGTTTCATGGTCCTGTCTGTGAGCGAAATGTCTGTGAGGAGTCGGCTTGAAGAAGACGAGAGGGACAAACTCATGGTGCTGGCGTACTTTAGTCGCAGTGGCCACTACAAGAAGGATTGTTCTTTTTGGTGTGCAAATTTCATCAGATTTACTGATATCTTTCATCAGTAAAAACTCAATAATAACTTTGAAACTCGTTTTTCTAAAAACGCAAGTTTTGCCATTTTTTCCAATGTGTCCCTCCTTTTTCGAGCACTTCTAGTGCTCTGATCTGCATGAAATCTTGCTCACATTTTTTTCAAAGTATGAAAAATGCGATTATCTAGCTTAAATTCCAATATTTTATTGTACAACAAAAAATTGTATGTAAACCTTTACTAGGGTAGGTGAAATATGAACTTTTTACGTCTATTATTTTTAACGCGTATTACATATTTTGTATGTGCTTCCTAATTAGTTATTTGCATTCTACACTTTATTTGAAACATTATGAACTATAAATAGTAAAAAATTACAGAGGTTTAGGAATGAAAAGAGGGGGGGGGGGGCAAAAGGGTTAAGGTTTTCAATTTGTCATGTTACAGAGCTAAAAGTGTGCAACTTGCAAGAAAACTAATTATATATTTGAAATCAGCATAAAAAGTTCCATAAACTTTTCAAGTTTCATTGCTCTAGGGTGAATATTAAAAAAAAAGTGTCTTCGAGAAGCATTACAAAAATCATGAGAACTGACCATATCCAGTTTACATGTACGCAGCAAGGGTCTGCTCGATTCACCAAAGCCTATCTCAACCAGTTCATGATGATGAACTAAATATTCAGAAAATATGCAGCTCGAGTTCAGTGGTACAAGCACAGCATGACACCAGAAATCAATGACGAGGTATTGGCATTACTTTCACACACAGCACAGGCCTAACTTTCGTTAGCTTAAGGGGGGACGTGGCCACTGAAATGATAAATTTGGTGAAAATGCTTGATTGTTTCAATTTATTTTTGTTTGCAAATCATCAAACTCTGGGTCATGGTGCAATATTAAAACAAAATAAGTAGCAGAAGTTGAGAAAAAGCACTAAGAAAGTGTGCTGTCATCAAAAACTAAGAAAAAATTGAGCATCAGAATATGGAAATCTTGGCGCTTTCCCACTGCACAAGATAGCCACAAACCTTCATTATTCCAATGAAATATAAAATCGGCTAAGACCAGTTTGTTCAGAGTTCCACTTCCTTAGCTCTAAGCTTCATTTTATTTGAACTGTTCTCTCTACTTTCACTTTTTCAGTTGTTCAGTTACTCCCAGTCATCCGTGTGCCATTTCACAACAAGCAAAGACAAAATCATTTTGTTCTTCGCACTTATATATCCTGAAACATTGGTGAGTGCAGTAAAGCTGTCCATATTTGTGTGTACTTCATAGACTTTTTCACCTGGCTTTTTTGTAAACGTTTTGAGACAATATGCACAGGACACTTTTAAAAAATTTTGTGAGCTCATTTGAATGTTAAAAAATAAACCAATATCTTTGCAGCACAGAATGGGCGCTTATGAATGTGCTCATGCAAAAAACTTCCCCAACTGGTGCTTAGGGTAATTAAGTGTTATCATTGAGAGCCCAAGAAGTCTTTTAGCTCAAAAACTGCAATAGCTTA